GTTTGCACAGACAAGTACTTGAGCCTCAAAAATGCTTAAAGAGCCACTACAGCTAGTTTAGGCGGCTAAATAGCATCAAGAATACCTTTTGATTGTTCTTTATCTGTCTGACTTGTCCCCAATACACAGCAAAGAGCAGTCATAGAACACACAAGACTGGTACCATGATTGAGATCCCAAGAGGCCTTAAAAACTAGTTTCAAATTTTGGGAGTTCAGAATGAGGTGGTCGAGTAAACATCAGGTGTTCACAAAACGGTTCATTGGGTGTGATGTTTTTGTTGCCTTCCTGTGCCCTTTTGCTCACCGTACGATGTTTTCTCTACCACCTTTCCACTCACTTTATTTTTATCTGTCGAAAGCAGTATTCTCCGGACCTGCGGGCGATTTACGGGTTAGTCCGTTGGTTTCAGTAAGTTAGACGATTGCGCTAGCCCTATCTCGGGTTCCTCCTACCTTCCTCCTCCACGTTGAGCAATACGCTTCTGGCAAGACCAATGTGGCTATCCTTGTTCCGTGATACACGGAACTTCGCGCTAACCTTTCCTCGCCTAGAAGTTAAGGTAGTGGTAGTGAAGACACCTGAATGACCGTGGGGGAGTTTTGCTATGATTGTCATCAGCAGCCGCGCGCCGTATATGATGGTCATCTCTTGTTCAGCAGGGCCATCGTGGGTTATCTCCTTGGTTGTTCTCGGCTGAGTTGGGCAGTCATGGTATATACTCTGCCAAAGAGTATCACACGTAGCAAACCAGGTATTTTAATGGGCTATGACAAAAAGTCGTCCAGCTGTAACACCTCTACGGTGCCTAGCTGCCATGCCACCCGAAGGAAGCACGGGGGCTGGGATACTGCCAGGTTACCCAAGCCTAGACAGGGGAAGTCAAGAAGTAGTGGTCCGGTTGAAACCGAGGACCTTTTGGTCAGTAAATTCGCACTCTAACCGCTGAGTCATTTCGTCCACTTAACGAGTTGTGGGCTAGAACAAATAAACGGAGTCATTTCAAGCCTGAACACGAGGTCCCTTACGCCGTTTCCGGTACTCTTCCGTGGTTACTTGAGCGACCTCTAAATATCTCACTTTCTGATGAACGACAGCTCCTTAAACACTACCCAGTTCCATTTCCTAATCATGTCTATCTCTTCACCGTTTGGGATATCATGTTCTGATCAGTAAAAAGTTAAGGGGGTAGACTTGCTACAAATTGTCGAAGGAAGTGCACGCAGTGAAACATTTGAAGACGACTGACATAGCGTAACCTGAGTTATACGAACGTCTGCCTACTGGTGGGCTTATTTTCTACGGTTTATTACACAAACGCGCACGTGTCACAACTAATGCACTACCTCGTCGTTCGCTTGGTGTAAAGTCAGGCTACAGACTAACGCCAACACAGCAGTTCAAAGAGTGCATTCATAAAAAATGAACGAAGAAACTGATTTCACAGGTATGATTACTGAATTCTCTGCGGCAGCTCACGACCGTTTTCGTCCTTCTCGGAGCTCATCCGTTAGGCGTAGTCCCCAATTTTCCCTCAAAATGGTGTCCTGATTGAAATATCAGTTGTGCGTAACCGGAGAGGTACACCTATCTTCAAATTGGGCTGGTGCTAACGGGAGACTCAGCTTCTTTTCAAATGAATTCGCTTTAAAAAGGTTGCCTTGAGTTTTAGCTGACACTGTCCCAGATATCTCAGTTTTACGCATAGCTAACATTCTGTGCATGTTTTTATACTACTGGAACCAGCTAAGTAGCTAAATGAATGCGATAAATTGTGGTAGGTTCGCGTTACCTTGATCTCAGGGGACCGTAAAAAGCGACCCATATCCTCGGTGCTATTGACAGTTTTATTCCAATTTTTAACGGTAAACTCATATTTCGAAAATCCGTATCTCACCAAGGTTAGGCACGCCGAAAGACCTTTTTACAGACCGTTTTGGGTCCTTTTTCTGACGTTGTCCGCTGGTGGTGTACGGATGATGTTTCGTTTGATGGTGACCCATTTCTTAACGGGCATTGCACTTTCAGATCCCCACTTTTGAAATCCAAGGAAATTTCCAAAGTTTGGATGGATGGGATGGCCGCGCGCAACAACAGATTTCATTCCGTCGTTGCCAGGTGTGAATTTTCCGACATTCACCTCAGAAACCATGGTATTTGCAGTAATCATACTGTCCCTACCCATATATTAACTAAATGTGACCCCTTGATCTTATTTCATTTGCACCATCTGATGCAGGGAAGTCACAAGCTTAAAGTTATCCTACTTTGTCTTCCTCGTCTCCAAATACCGACGTCGTTGTTTAACTGCGACAAACTTTTGCTCTGTCTATGAACACCGCGTTCGTATTCGGTTTGTGACTTCCGTATAATTGATTCGTACAACTTGATAATTCAATACACCTGGACTTATAGCATTGTAGGCCAATCCATGGACCACCATGAACCCTTCATTTAAGCATCGCATAGCCGTTTCTAGCATACAAGAAGCATCAGTCGTTAGGTCCGGATGAACACGATCGACATAGGTTGATCGAGATGCCGGGCCGGAACAGAACGTATCCCTTGTGAAGAACACTTTAGTTTGAGCTAACGCACATGAGTGTATTAGTGCATAGCTGAGGATAGCCATAACACGATTCAGAAGGTGTATGCACTAATAAAAGTTTTTGCATGGTTGACAGTGTTGGGTTGTGACACGTGTAAAAATAAATACAGTGCGAAATGGGAGCGAGTCAAAAAAGGGAACTCATCGGATGTGGGAGTCCCTTGGTGAAAGTCTGGACGGTGGAAACGTGTTTCCTCCGCGGTTTGGCTGCTACACGTATTCCATGGTTGTCCGTGGACTGGGAGTGTTTGGGTGACCCCTTGCTCCCTGCGCGCGAGTCTGTGTCTGTCCTGACTGGGTTCGGTTTCCCTTTATGTAGGTCCCAGTGCGTGTATGTGGGCGCGTCGGCACATGAGTGGTTGCTACGCTGACTAGGCGGTGCAGACAATCGATGCCCGATGAGTCAGCCTAATGCGACTTGTTTGTGCGTATGAGAAAATAGACAAGCCTCGCGATCCAGTGAGCGATTGTAAGCTGAACAGTCAAGTATGTGGGTGACTGGGTGGCCACAAGTGCGCATAAGCTCTACCGGAATAAGTTCGTTCATAACGGAAATGTGAAAGATGCTTCGCTGTCATCTATTACGGCAGCATCAACAGGCGCCGAATGATATTACTTTGAGAGCTGCGCCCTTTTCCATGTAGTGCAGCATAAGTAAGATTACACCTACCGGAGTAAGGTGGAGTCGAACCTTTCAACAAACGACAGACAATCGACGGCCATGGTTCAAACCCGGAAGGGGTCTTCAGACTGGCTGCCTGTCCCCAGTACTGAAAATCAGTATACATGCTTCAGAACTGAACGCTTGAAAAGGATGTATGGAGAGGAGATGCGATGGACCGAAATCAAGTCCTTAGGATGCTTACCCCTCCCCAGAAGGGACACTACGTCCGAAAGGGCTATATCTGCTGATTCGCCAGTCTGTTGTAGCTGACTGCTGCAGTGCCTAGTGCAGGAAAAAAGACTCACCAAATGGAGCATACCAGCTTTATTCTGAACAAGTGAGTGCGAAAGCGTGAGGGCGTAAACTCAACGGCCTCAAGCTATTTTACTGGAGAATCACTGTCTGCACTTGGTCCAACGCTGACTCACACTGTCTGACTTTGATACAAGGCTGTGATGTGCTGCAAAAAGTTATCGATTTTTTAAACCACGTGACCCGCTATTCATCTTGGTTCGTCAGCACGTGGACGAACAATCAGCAGGACATTAATCGCTCTTCAGCCATTCACTCTTGTCTCAGGTTCGCGGCATCATCAGATGAACTGAAATGTATGTACACATATGTGCCTACTGGCCAGACCTAAAGGGCCAAGAGTTGACGGCGCTGTTTTTGGAGAGAGTCACCTGATTGCCACTCGAGTCTTAAACTGCACGATGCGCTCTTGAGTTCGTCTACAAAGGGATACATCTACCAAGTGCAAAACAATTCCACCAACTACAGAATAACTAATTTTGTTGGTACGTGAAGAGAGTACCACTGAAATTTCGAGCGAAAACTCATATGCAGACGGCCTCAGGTCCTGAAAATAGGTGAAAGGATGTCAGGACGCACGCAGACATGGAAGAAGTACATGTGCAGAGAGTGACGCATCCTCAAGGTCACCATCGGTACAACTCGTTCGGAAAGCAGGTGCATTGGCGGAGCTCACCAAACATGGCTTAGCAACATACGACCAGCGTGGTGAGCCCGAGATTGTTCACGACCGGAACATCGCCATTGGCTGTACAGAACGAACAAGTGAACGACCATATTTGGCCATTTAGTCACCCTATATATTTAAGCAGATGCTCTGTATGTTTTGTCCTGACAATACAGCCGTGTCCCCAGTTCTCTGTCTTCTCCCTATCGCGTATTCTGGCAGGCTCAGTGCAGGCGTAACCCATAGACGGCCGTCCTCGAAACAACAGAGGTCTGCTCTTTCAATGGATGACAAGATTAAGTCTCGAGATATGTGATTGGTTTGCCGGAAGTCTCGAACGATGACCCAATAAATGTGACCACTGGCTGATCCTGTCCAGATGTCCTCTCACTGCCAAGGATCTACATTGCTAGCCCAGAGGTTGCTTGCCTGTTTAAAGAAAAGCTTTTAATAAGGGTATGACTTCTAAAGATCCTGAAGACTAACTCTTTCTAGGGGAAGCACTCGTGAATAAGTGCCCAGCTGATCACCACACAGACGCCAGCTCGCTTGAGTTAACCTGTGCTTAGACTCGCTCCTTACTAGGGAGATCAAACTCCATTTTCTATGACAAAATACTGGAACGTCACTGGCCAGTAATCACCAGAACTGACTGACCTACACAATGCATTGATCAACTCAACTGATTTCGGGACTCGTTCATCCGAACTCACTTCCGGTTCCCCGCGAAAAACAAACAACCAGACTGACTCGTGACAATGCTGTATCGAAGACAGACTAAGAGAAAATAAAGATAGAAAAGGCCGTTGTTGGTGTTGCTGCTGTGACGAGAGAAAAAATGAGGAATAGAATAATAAGAAACCTTAACGACAATATGGGACAAGGGAGTGATCCTAGTACGGATACGTGCGTAGTGAGAACTGTTCAGATGGTGGAAAACGATTGGTTGGCTGGTGTGGCTATCCAATGAGTGTAGTGGAGGTTCGTTGGAAGTCGGGGAAATAAACCAACCATAGGCCGCAATACAGTGCAGAGTAGTCCTAAGTTGGTGATGTTTTTTTTCGAAGTTCGGGCTAATCCCAACACCTGATTGATTAGCAAAAATATTACAGTCGACAGGTGAGTGCGAACTAGACAAAAGTCAGGTCAGGTATCATATCACATGATGACGTCCACAAAGAATGCTTGCGGAGGTTGACATTAGCAATAAAGAAACAGGAAAGTATGGCAGATGCACGGACCACGAGTAATGACAATAAATGATTATATTGGAGTGCCTCGTGTGTGGGTGGGTGGGTGTATGTGTGTGTGCGATGTGTGGGTGCTCGAGAACGTCAACAGAGCAGTGGTAGTTTGGCTCGCTGCACTGAGATGTTCGGTATACACTGATTCTGCGAAGCCAACTGGAGGTCGAATGATCTAGAAAGCCATGGAACCTGAAACGCAATCAACACTTTCTCTCTGACCATTTGCAGCCACAGATTGCGCTTGTAACCCACCGTTTTGCATTGCGGTTTGTAAACTCGTGTTCACGGGTGACCCGTTAGAAGGCACGTCGTTGTTTATGGACTTTGGACCGTTTGACAAGTCGGATGAGAACGAGCCGTTTGGCATCACATTGGAAAACGCTGCCACCGAACTTGCCAGAGGGTTCATCTGATCGGGCAGTGCCGTGCTGTATCCGAACGTGGGAGTTACCGAGCCGTTCATCGCTGGATTGGTTTGTGATATGGTCAGTGCACCGGCAGCTCCAGGCAGAAGGGGTGATTGTATAGGTGTATAGCCCGACGCGGCAGTTAATAATCGCTGATAGGCCAAAGCCGCGGAATAGGCGTTTAACTCTGCACTGGCCGCAGCATCTCGATTTGGACAGGCAGCCGCAGGTTGGGTGGCCGTGTAGCCGGCCCCTGGAAGCGATAAGGTACTGGGAGTTGTCTGGCCTAACGTCAGTAGATTTCCCATCCCATGGTGACCCATATAGTGATTACCATTCAACGCGGCTGCGGAATTTTGTCCATAAGCTGACATGAGAAGAGTTAATGCGGTCGGAGAAAGCGTCGAAGTGCCCGAACCACCAGTAGGCATGGCCATAGCCGTTTGTCCATTATTCGCCGGATTCGGGTAGTTTAGAAGCATGTTCGCACTATTAAATGCGTTCAAGGCCATTTGAGCAGGCGCACGACTATCTGGCCCCACAGCACTTGTCGCTGAGGCCAAGGTCGTTGTGGGTTGAAGCAATCCATTCAAACCGGTGGACGATGCGGTCGCCATCGTTGGCAAGGCGAACCCTGACAAGAGGCCATGCGCTAACAACGGATTGACAAATCCGCTACCAGTGGCGCTGTAGAGACCGGCTTGACTGGCAGCAGCGGCGGCGGCGTCGTTCAGAGTCAATCTGCAAAAGAATCGGTAGGTTAGATCACTGTATGGCAATAATTACTGGACAAAAATTCAAAATACCGGAACAAATACACAACAACGAACAGCAAGCTTAACTTAAATGAAAGTGCACCATGGCCGACGTTTTCTGTGAAATTCTCTACATATTTATACAAGTCTATAAAAATCTATTCATCCATGCAATCTGACGGAACAGGCAACACTCTCGTTCCATTTTAGACGCTTGAAAAAGCTACGAGAATTTCCCTACGGATTGTACTGGGTCCCCGCTTATGTTTCTCTGAAACGAGTGTTCCCCTCTGGGGCGCATTTCAGACGCGTAAAAAGGCATATAGGGACGGCGAGAGCGTTTGGACAACACGAAATTTGCAGTTGCAGTCTGAATCAACACTTTGGATGAGGCAAGTCTAAACAGTACTGCAACAAAGTGTCCTGACGATGTTCTACCGAATGCGCTGCATGATTCTTGGTCTCGACAGGTGGACTGCAAGCGTCTCGTCACCAACCGAGGAAACATCGTCAGTGTGAGTTCGCGTGATTCCGGTTCTCCACCTCTGGCAGCTTCGTAAAGTTCCCAGCACTCTAAAGGGATTGGTTACTTGCACGGTTGCTTTCACGAAGTACTGAGCCTCAGAAAATTCGCGCTCCCGTTTGGTCTTTGCATGAGTAAGCATCCGAACGTTATCCTAACCGAACAAGTGCTGTACTGTGCATTGAAACGAGTTAGGTCCCCCCCGTTCTGGTGGTCCGTTTCTTCACTCTGATCGGCGTAGGGCTTGCCGCAGTCGTTACATAATTTGTGGATGACGTTTGTTTATCCTTCATGGCATTCTTTCGGTTCCGAGCAGGTTCCCGTCGGCTTGTTTACGAGCTTGAAGGTGACTGTTAATTCATGTTGTGGTAAGTTTTTTTTAACGTTTTTTTGTGTTTTGGATGCGTTGACAAAGTGGCCGACTATCCACCTTTTTCTAGATTTCTAACTCAACGAACCAACGACTGTTAATTCATGTTGTGGTAAGTTTTTTACGTTTTTTGTGTGTTTTGGATGCGTTGACAACGTGGCCGACTATCCACCTTTTTCTAGTTTTTCTAACTCAACGAACCAACCAGATGCAAGGAACTGAGACCACAAGGCAACCGAGGCTCAGAATTGACGAATCAGCTTACGTGGATACCATCTCGCGGCCAGCCAACCCCTTTAGAGTTGCTGGATAACGTTAGTAATATATGTGCAGACAGAAGAGATGGAATGTTAACCTAAGCCTTTGCTGATGATGATGGAGACGGAACGTTTGCCATCCAAACTCTGCTGGTTCTGACCAACATTTCTGATATCTGGCAGAGTTGCCAATGGAAACAGGTTTCGTATTTCGCGACAATACGGGGACACCTGACCGGGGAACCCAACCACATGCATCATTTATTCAGTTTTTACCACACTACCTGGCATTTGTGAGTAGTACAGTTTCACCTCAGCAACGACTACTCGCCTGGCATCTCAGCTGTTTAGTTTCCACTTAGGATTTCAGATTGGTACAGAAAAATTCGTTATAAAAACGAAATCGCAGCCTGAAACAGAAGTTATCTACTAACAGGTAGTGGCACATCATGACCGAAAGTTAAGCGCATAACGGCGGGTGGTTCGTAATACAGTGAACCCGATTACTTTCACAACAAACAGGGTAGTTCCCTCAACTGCGTATAAATAGTGAGTAGTTGGATGCGACCATGCAACAGACGCACGTTTAGACACCGCAAGAAACAGATTTAACTCACTGCAACCGATATATCTAACGCAGAAATGCGGTGACAACCATATTGTTTTTCCCCCGCACAAGGGGGAGAATAGTCTCACAGCAAAAAATTAAAGATGTTCACGCAGCCTGATCGGCGAGATAGTCACAAATGCATGAAAAGTACTAGAACAACCGCGAAAAAGAGGAGATAAAGCGGAATCGAATGACATGAAGAACGGGTGGGACGCAAGTATGAGAGTGATATGCTCAAGAGGGTCGATGTGTGACAGCGCGGATCGATATATGGTTCTGACACATCCCAAATTGCGTAAAATTATGTAATTCAATCACAGCGAGTTAATCTGAAGAAAGACGACAACTTTGGTCGATGGATATCCCGAGGATGCACTATACACACACTCACACACACACACTCGCACACTCGCACACGCACAGCAACGCTGACATAGAGGACAACGGGAGAGAAAGCTAAATCGAGGGCAAGCAATCACACATCAATTACAACGCCGAAACCGGGCACTCACGTTCGCACACAGCCGATATCTTAGTTGTCTCTCTCTCTCTCTGTGCGTGTGTGTCTGTGTGTTGTCATCTCACCACTATCGGATTCCAGTTCGCACGAGGGACGCTTTGAAAGAATAACCGGTACAGACTGAATGACGGAAAAAACTCGCAATGGGAAAACACATCCGGATACCACAACTACAAGGGGTGTCGATCGGTGGTTAGACAAAACTCGGCTAGAAAAATTTGGGTTGGCGCGGCGAACATAAAACGGCAACGCAAGTCGGTGTGACTGTGTTCGGACGGTCATCAAAATATGGCTTATTGTTATGGAACGAAATTGAACTTCTGAAGAATTGTACTTTTGACTGAAACGAGGACTTTCTTGCGTCCGCCTATGGTAAGACGGCTTACAAAAGACGAAATGCTTGCATGAAAACCTTTCAGACAGCCCAAAAGGTTTTTACCGCTAACTGCACTTTTGAAACTACATTCAGTAAAACTTTAAAAACTATTACAAATTAGCGTACACAGATTTGAGTGCCTCCCCATCATCTGCTGCATTCATTCTGGCGAGGGCTTTATTCGCTGCGCGGAGAATCTCAAGAGTCCGTGTTGTGAAACGTTGTTTGTGGCGCCACAAGTACTGTACTTCTCCACACACACACACCCCTGGAAGAAAAGCCCGTTTCCCTAATTAACATGGAACGGTTGTATCGCTTGGCGTTTTCTCACGCGTGCGTCTCTAACCAGTAATAAACGATATCTGTGCCTTAGGCCAGACAGCCTACAGGAGACGCAGGTGAGATTCTGCTATCCACTGAAGACAGGGCAAAAAGCGTTCGCAAGTAGTGTTACCATCTCGTCACTGGCATGCCACCGATCATACAGGCTCGGACAGCGTAACTGTTTTGGAAATCGAATGACTGCACAACAATGTTAGGTATTTGTATATCTTGGTAATGTACTACTCACAAGGTTGCTGAAAATCCGTCGACAACCCACGACCGGTTTCGCCCTTATTGAGGCTCATCAGATAGGTGCAGTCCCCTGGTTTTCGTCAACCTTATGTTCTACTTGAAACCAAATTGCACGAAAGTAGCGAATATGCACTCAGTTGCAAACTAATTTGGTTCTTTCGAGAGACTCACCTGGAACCCAGCTGAATCTCTCGTTTGTGATGTTCTCAGGCAACTGAATGTGCAACTCGAATATCGTAGCGACTGAAACATGAGGCGGCCTGGTGCAGCACATTCAGAAGGTTAAGTATTTATCTCTTTTCTAAGTAATCTGTTCAGAAATGAGTAAAAAAAATATGCCATAAACAGTGCTCAGACAAGGTTTTTGCTCACGAAATTTGTAGATAAACCATAGCTTTTATGCGCAAAGTGGACAGAATGAGCTAGCAACCGCTACGTAGTAACGATTTGTCCAGATTCCGAAACGTTCGCCCACTTACAGTCACTTATACTGGTGTGTGGTTTCAGTCATCGGGGCAGAGAAGTATTCCTATGGGCGGGTTGACCAGTATGTGCTTCAGAATCGGGACCTCCTGCAAGGTGGAGCATAACCTGTCCAAGAGCTGTAAAGAGGGTATCCGCGTTCTCATCGCTACCGTCATTCCTGCTGTCCGAAGTCTACAGCAAGCATTGGACTNCGCTCGCTCTTACCGGAGGACATCGGCAGCGCATGTCCTTGGACGAAATTCGAACTCCGGACACGTGATATGCAGGGCGAGCGTGTTACGACCACCCCACCAGTGCATGCCGGGGCATGTGAACTGTACTCACAATCGAGCAATATGATTGGTTCTAAGGACAAATAACCCAGTAAGCCACCTTCGCTAAGTGGTGGCTTAGTTACCTGAGTTGTTGTAAGAGCGGAAGGTCTTAAGCATCTGGTAAAGGTTTCTCTTCTCAGTAAAGCCAGTGCTTGCTGAAAAACCAAGAAGCACTGAACAGCTGTTTCACGCTTTCTGGGAACCAGTGCGTATCTCCGGAAACTCAGGGGTTCGAACCCACACCATCGACCTTGTTATCGAAAACTTGGCCGTTTGGCCATGCGTAGCTGATCGGCAGTGTGATTAGCCCTCCCTCAGTGAGGACATCTTCAACGACGGAAATTACATCACGTGGTCACTTATTGACTGGCATCTCCAGTGGCGAGTTTTCAGAGAGAACTTCCACAATCACATGAGGCAGACAGAACATCTTGTTCGTCTGTAGTGTTGTAGAACTGCTTGTGGTCTCTGTACAACTTACCCGGTTCGATCTTTCATCTTTAACTACACATCTATGGATTGAACTTTTGATGTTTCATACTTTGGTATGGAAGAGAAAGAGCGATTTGTGTGACCTTGAAGAGAAGAGAGTCGAAGTGACAGACGCCTTTTAGAGGACACATCAGGGGTTCTGAGTTCTACCTAATGGCTTTCCAAACTTCCTGGGTAAATCAGTGTGAAGCGAAAGTATCGAAAATCGAACCAGGTAGATTAGACGGGCAATTTGTATAGTTCCATAAGCCCCACCAGGTCACATCTTTCAGTATATTCCAACTTGGATGATCGGGCTGAGGCTGTGGAGCGTAACATGCAAAAGTTCCTCAAGGTCTCGACACTACTTGGAATGGTGTCGAATGTGACAAACACTGTGAATGATGCCTTGACATTTAGAAGACAACCTTTGTAGGATATACACATGGCTTCCATGTGAGACACTGAAGAATTGAACTACGCTCACGGAAAAAAGACTTGTAAGCTAATCGAATCTAGTTGAATTCACTCGACACTTTGAAACTTTCTATGACCAACTTGGAAGAATAACAGACTTTTAAAAGGTTGAAATCATCAAAATAGTGGGGGTGCACTCTACGTTCATCAAGTTTCTCCTTGTCAACTAGCCAAATCTCCATAAACGACATAAGTTGACCTTGAAATCAGTGAGGTTTCATGAAGGATTCTTTGATGCCCCGCTCAATAATTATGCACGATCGACAAAGGTTATCTGCCAACTTCTCGTAAGCCACAATTTACATATTAAGTGATCTGACAGATAGCGACCTCCAAACTGTACCACAAATCACCAGTTTGATGGAAATGTATATGGAGAGATCTCTGTGTGTCTAGACGTGATCTGCAGTTGGTTCGTTCATGATTCCCAAAGGTATTGTCGTTGGATACGACCGCCTTTGATAAATTATGTGACGCTCCACAACTTTGTACCTGACGGCAACCTCCATGCTTAGTGATTCGCCGCCAACCTGACCCGTCTCCGGTTTAGAGCATTTGATCCACGAGAGAACTTCTGAACTTCCGATTGAACA